GAGAGAGAGAGAGAGAGAGAGAGAGAGAGAGAGAGAGAGAGAGAGAGAGAGAGAGAGATCACAACATAACAACAGTCGGAGACGGAAGAATTGAGGGGCAACACTTTAACAAAAAGGAAAGTGTTTTCTACACTATCGAAATTCAAATTCAATTCATTGAATGACGGGATTACCCGTCTCGTACCACGTCAGAGTAAACACACACGAAGTCGGGCGACTGATGCACCCAACCGGCGTAATACAACACTACAAAGACCACCAACGACAGCAATCGATGAGGACACCTTGCCGACGAAGCCGACTACAACGGGAAGCCTCCAACTATCCACCGACTACTAAATTTCAGGGAGCAAGTGCTACACAACACAATGCCAACGAAGTCTATCGCTCGCGAACAGCCTTTGTTATTTCCAACAACGCATGGCACATGAGTTTGCTGACTTCATCGGACGCGGCGTAGTGCGTCTTTGCACCTGCACTTCAGCTTCTAATGCCTCACATTGTCATAGCTGAATGCTGCATTGCCGCTTGCTGGCACTCTCCATCGTGGCCGCCATCAACGCACCGTGCTTGTCCATGCACTCCGTCATTGCTTCGAACGTCTGCTGCCGCGTGCTCTTCCTCTTTCTGAAACCATGGGGGCTGCCCGACGTCTGGGAGGAACCACGAGTCGATCCCTCGTCCTCATCTTCCCCCCCCGCACCGGCGTCGGCACCACCAACTGCTTCAGGATCAGCAGTTGTCGTCGACGGCAAACGCACACCGCCGCGGGCACCAGTGTCGGCAACGTTTTTGGGGTTGATGGTTTCGTTGAAACCGCTGGACCCTTCAATCTCGTCGTAAACGGCGCGGTCCATGTTGAAATTGAAGCCGTGTCTCGCCCTCGCCTTGCCGTTCAACTGGAAGAAGTCAATTCCCCCGGACGGCGATTGAAAATGATGAACTTTCTTGAATTGCTGCATGAGGTTGTCCCACTTCTTCCCACATTTCTCCGGCTTCCTGTCGACACCCACATTCTTCAATCTTCTGGCGACGTCATTCCGTTTCCACTCCCTCGGCTTCATCTGGGCATAGGCATGCCCCATCCCCTGCAAGTGCGCATCCTGATCGCGTTTCGCCCGTATGAGGGCGATGATATGTTCGACACTCCAAAAGTTTCGCTTCTCCTCTGCGTCGCCGTCGCCTTCTCCGTCGTTTGCCTTTGCTTGCGCTTTCTTCGGCCGCCCACGACCGTTCCCGCTGGTCGCCTTCGTCTTGCCGCCCTTCCCCCCCCCCGTCGTTGTTCTGCGATGGCGAGGTGTAACCGCCTTTCCCGTCTCCTGCCTCTCCTGCGCCGTCATCTCGTCGTCTTCGGACGGAAGCCCCGCATGTGGCTCCTCAACTTCTTCCGCCTGCCTGTCCATCCTCAGCCGCTCCACCCCCCGCCTGATTGCTTCCTCTCGCCCCTCCCTGATCTTCCGTCGCTCCTCCGCCCACACTAACCTCCCGTCGCGGTCGTCAATGACGTCGTCCAAGTACCCCCCCCCCCTCCTCGACAATGCCACGTCGACGTCCCAGGTTGGACGCAGCACACACCGGAGCCGGGGACTGCATAAACAACGGACGACCTTGCGTGCTCCTAGAGATGGAAGTCGCTCGTCCCCGCCACTGCTGCACGCCTGCGGATTTCGATGATCGGTCCACAGCGGTTAACTGCCCGCCGTCGTCGCCAACATGGGGATTGATAATCACTGTGCGGGTCCGGCTTCCACACCTCCCTGTAGACAGACCAGAAGACAGGTTCGATCCGCCATGCCCTTCTTCCCCGTCGAGACCCGGCGCCAGCAGTTCAGTGAAGGACTGGCCGTGCACGCCGCCACTGCCGCCGCACAGCTCCGTCCAAGACCATTCCTGCGTAGAACCACTACCCAACGGAACAGTGCGTGCCCGTCCCTCCCTCTCCTCCTCATCAGATGAGTCAGGGAGGGGTTGCAAATGCGGCGGCAGTGATGAATTACCGACCCCCAACGACAACCTGCAAGTCGGTGAAGAACTCCCAACGGCACGCCTGCTCACAACCTTCTCCCCTCCTCCCCTGGGGGATCCCTGTCCACTATCTGTCCTGACGGCCTTCATCGGCGAAGTTCGTCTGCGTCGACGCCGCGGCGTGCTCCCGACGAAACACACGTGCAACACTACGACGACGACCAGTAGGAAGATGGCGAGAAGCAGCAGCGGGAGCTTGCGAAAGCTGTCAGCCATGCGACGGACGACGGCAACGGCACTAGACGGAAGAGAACACGGCCGACAACGTAACTGCGACGTCCTGCACACGGCGACACGCGCTTGGCGACAAACGGAAGCCGTCGTCTTCTGGACGCGCTGTGCCGCCTCAAATATTCGCATTTGCCGACCGTTGGCCGGTTTCCCGCCACGGCTGAAGCCGAACCCCGAGTTGCAACGCGGTGTGCACCTTGGGGATGCTACCGGCCCGCTAACGGTTACTGTTGGCGTGGACATCGAGCCTCTTGAACGTTGGCGACCCAACATGTCCGTGCGCAAGTCGCCCGGACCACCGATGGACCAGACGCCGCCGACAAAAGAAGTCGACTGAGGTGCCGTCGAAGAGCGGGTTCTTCCCGATGGGGGAGCTCCGAGGATCCTACCGGAGGTTCCTTGGGGAAAATTGAAAATTGCCTGTGCCCCGAGGAATCCCCGAGGAATCCCTGAGGAAATGTTTTCACTTTTTTTTTTTTCCCTTTCCCCGAGGACAAGTGGAACGACGATTTCCTTGGGGGATTTCGGCGCCCAAGGAGTGTCGAACGAGCCCCTTTGTATAGTTCCAAGTTTAACGGATGTCCCGAAGGACTGCGCAAAGATTTTCGAATGGGCAAAAACAAAGAAAACGTGCAGGTAGGTCAGTCGCGCTGAGCCAAAAACACGGACGCGTAGGTCAGTCACGGTGGGCAAAAAATTCACGTACGTGTAGATCAGTGGCAATGGCGGTGTGCTACTTTCCATTTCCTATCATTGAGTGGACCATCACCGGTTTCTTTTCATCATTGAGGGCATACTCACACTACCAGGACTCTTCTTACTTATCTATGCGGCCCTGATTGGGGTCAGATGCATCCAGGTGCGGCCGTAAATGCAGTTAGATACATTCCAGATAGAACCAGTGTGAGTACGCCCTGAGTCTTCCCTTCGACGCTGTTATCTGCTCAGTTGTTCATGTGCGAATTCTTACCACTCATTTTCTTTTACTTTTTTTTTCCTTTTTTTTCTTTTCTTTTTTCCTTTTTATTTTTTTAGTAACACAAACTGTTCATTTTATTACCACAAGAAGAAAAGGAGGCCGGGGGCCAAATCTCACTACCGGGTGAATAGAGCGCCTGGTTATTATAGCCGTATCTGGACTGAAAAGTTCACCAATTACGGCTATAATGACCGGGTGTTCTATTCAGGTGAAGACCGTAGCGGAGGTTTTGTTCCTGCTGCCGTCGCCTGCCGATGCTGTGTGACAGTGCGTTCTGCAGCGCGGCAGATGAGTGACAGTAGGAGGAAGAAAAAAGAAAACCAAGAGAGAGGGATTCAGAATCTGTAATCATTCTGATAATGAAGCAGGATTTCCGAAACATGAAGTTTCAAAAAAAAAAAAAAAAAACTGAAAACAGGCCGATGACAGTGGCTGGGAACCATTAGGCCATTGGGACCTCGTAGCTACAGAAAGAAATGAGCTTACCACAGCGGTAAGAGCAGACCAAATAAAAATGGGACTGCTGGTCCTCCTCTGTAGCCCAATGTGGGTCGGGGCTACTACAGGTGGGGACCACTCTACACCTGTGAGCAAAAATGTGGTGAAATGTTTGGCCCATGGAAAAGGGCCTTATGGGCGCGATTACCTCAATTTTGAAATTGCTTCACAAAAAAACATGCGCTGCTATGCTATGCACCCTACGATAGCTCCACATCAGTGAGGAGAAAAGGTGTTACAAACAACGGAGGTCCCCTACCCCAGAACATAACCTCCGCTAGTGGGATGTGGCCGCGGAAACTCTTCCACAAGCCGGAAAAAAGGGGCGCCGGGACGGTTACCCAGGCGGTGGGGTGAAGTCCAGTGATAGAAATGGCCAACGCTTGACCCCTCCCCGGGAGTGCTAGCGGTGCCTGCTCTTATCAGCACCCCTACCACCGACTCGGGCAGTATTTCGTAAAAAAAAAAAAAAAAAAAAAAAAAAAAAAAAAAATTCTCCTCAGGCCCCAAGTGTCATTCTCTTCGTACCCTGTACACTGGTAAGAGCCCAACTTCACTTCGAGTGAACAGGTGGTTCAAAAAAAAAAAAAAAAAAAAAAAAACGGGACTTCAAAAATTCCCTTCTAATATATCATTCGTTCGTGATGTGTCCCGCGCTTTTTCAAGCGGTTG